CAGTAAAATGAAAGCATATTTGGCAGATCATCCTAATATCCAAAACCATTAAGTAGTCACTGTAGGCCCAAATGAGGAGAGTGAAAACAAGGTGAGAAGATAAGACAAAACAGCAGAAACTAGACATGCAGGCTGCAGGACAACAGAAGTGACTAAACAAGGTGAGGATAACTGTCAGCAGGGGTGTATATAGCCACTGTCCAGGTTGCTTTTGTTTGTCTGTTCTCTGCTGTGTCATCCTACTAATATTGTTTGTGTAAACTTTGAACACAGCAGCCTATACCTTTGAAGTTGGACTAAAGAGTAGCATTTCCCTGAGCTAGGACTCTGCGTTTGCCAGAGTGTTTACTGCTGTTAAAATAGTTGTTCAACTCTCTGGAATACTGACAAGATGGACAGGACTTTTCTGCTTGTCTTGTGTCTAGTGACACTGTCTAATGTACAGCTGGGACAGTCTCAATGTGATGGTAAGGGAATAGATAATGCTTGGCATCACAATTTTGCCCTGCACAATACTGGATGTGTTTGCTGCAGTTGTGAGGATTGCTGCAGCTGTGTATGAAGTTGTAGGACCAGCTTTGGAGACTATTGAGAAAGACATGAAGAATATGAAGTCTGACATGGCAAGCCTCAGCCAACAGGTTGAGAACTTGACAAACAGACTGAGTTCTCTGAACTGAATCAATGAGAGATGATTTCAGTGGTGTTGAGAGAGGGTTAAGTCTAGCACAGCCAACATGATATGTGACAAGATCAAAGATCTTCCTGTTTACACATGTGGAGGTACTGGAGGTTGGAGACGTGCAGTCTACCTGGATATGACAGACCCCAACACCAACTGTCCCTCTGGCTGGCAGCTCACTGGATACTCCAAGAGAACTTGTGGCAGAGTTAGTACTGGATCTAAGACTTGTGACTCAGTCTTCTTCCCTGTCAGTGGAGGACCATACAGTCAGGTGTGTGGCAGGATCAGAGCCTACCAGCATGGACTCTGCCTTGATGCCTTGGGGATGGTGGACAAACTACAATTGACAGTGCCTATGTCAGTGGTGTGGCTGTAATGCATGGCAGTCCTCGACAACACATCTGGACATTTGCTAATGGAGCATGGGAGAATACGACACAATCCCAGACATGAACTGTCCATGTGACATGGAGTACATCCATCCCATCATTTGTTGGAGAGGATTACTTCTGTGAGTCAGGGTATGTGCTTCCTGGGTACCGAAATGGCACTGCAGAGAGCAGCTTCCACTCCAATGACACTCTCTGGGATGGTGAAGACTGTCACTCCACCAGTACATGTTGCTCTCTCCACAATCCTCCATATTTCACCAAAACCCTCAACCAGACAACTAGTGATGACCTTGAACTGAGAATGTGTTTATGAAGAGCATACATATGACAACATAGCCAGGCTCCAACCGCCAGCACCGCTCTCAACGTGTGGCTGCTACGGGAGCTCAGCGTGCGCGCGGCCCAATGACGAGGAGGAAACAAAGCG